TGTCTCTCTCTGTCAAATAAATAAATAAAATCTTTTAAAAAAAAAAAAAAAAAATTAAAAATCGTTATTAAACCATGGGCTTGGGACACCTGGATGGCTCAGTCGGTCAAGCGTCTGCCTTTGGCTCAGGTCAATGAGCCCCACATCAGGCTCCCTGCTCCGCAGGGAGTCTGCTTCTCCCTCCCCCTCTGCTCCTCCTCCCTGCTCATTCTCTCTCGCTCTCAAATAAATAAAATCATTAAAACTAAAAATAAATCAACCAACCAACCAACCACAGGCTCATTCTCGTCCTTCTCTGTGGGCTCTACTCAACAATACCCCCTGGCTTTTCTCAAGAAACCGAGCTTCACAGCAAGAGCTCTGCACCACCTCACTCCAGGACTCGTGCTGGGACCTCCACCCTCAGTCACCCACACACACAACAGCCAGCCTGCTCCGCATGGGTCTGAGGACAGATGGGACAACTCCAAGAAGCATGACCCTACCTGGCCTCCATGACGGCGACAGGAACCTTCCCCGTGTGTTCGAACACTGCAATGGCCTTCTCCACATCCTGGTGCGCTTGGCCATGGGGCTGGCTCCATCCAGGGAGGATGGGGAAGGAACAGAAGATTTGAAGGAATAGACACTGAGCAGGGAAGGGTGCCATCAGCCTACCCTTCGGCACCACGACTCTGCCATTTCAAGGTGGACAGCCATGTGCTCGCTGCCGGCACAGCAAGGGGATGTTCGGGCAAACCAGTGCCAGCAAGACCACGGAAAGGGACCGACTGCTGGCAACGAGCCGCCCCGGGGACCCTTCAACACCTCTGGGAGCCTCTGCCACCCTCCTGGCTCCCCTCAAGGAGAAGGCAGCGTTCTGAGGAAAGACTCTGAAGTGGGAAGGAGGAGGGACTTAATTTTTCAGAGCTGAAAAAACTATGAAATGACAACATATCAACAGCAATGAATCTTAAGTAGATACCTACATCACTTAAAAATATGGGGTGCCCTGGGGGGCTCAGTTGGTCAAGCGTCTGCCTTCGGCTCAGGTCATGATCCTGAAGTCCCGGGATCGAGTCCCGCATCGGGCTCCCTGCTCTGTGGGGAGTCTGCTTCTCCCTCTCTCACCCCATTAATGCTCTCTCAAATAAATGAATAAAATCTTTAAAAAACAAATACTTAAAAATATTCACCTAACACTTTCATGGCAGCTGTAAGGGCTCTCAGGCCATTTACATCTTTTAAGTAAGAGTCTTTTTTTTTTTTTTTAAAGATTTTATTCATTTATTTATGAAAGAGAGAGAGAGAGAGCACGAGCAGGGAGAGTGGCAGGCAGAGAGAAGTCACGCTTAACTGACTGAGCCACGCAGGCGCCCCTAAGTAAGAGAATCTTAAAATAACATATACACACACCATACAGCCATCTGACATCTGGTTTACATAAATACAGTTAACACTTCTTCCTGCATTTCTTAGAAACCCAGGATCTTCCTCCAACCCCATTTTGAAGACCTCCTCTTCAATGCAAACCCACATGAATGAAGATCTAAAAGACCGTCCTGCACACGGTAACTTGCTTTAACTCCCATCCTCCAGAGACACCAGACAGAACAGGCTCAAATGCTCAGCTCAGAGTCCCAGGAAATCAGACTGTGCTGGTGAGCACAGGCCAGAGGCCACAGGGGGCAGCAGAACCGAGGTGACGTTACCTCCGTGGTGTCCCTGGCTGAAGACAGATCCTCGTAGAGGCCCATGTTTTCCATAGAAACCTGCAGAGGGGACATGGTGGGGACCGTGAGGCACTGGCCTCTGCGGGGAGAGGCTGAGGAGCTGCTGCTGCAGGGGAAGGGAGGCCACGACTCGCCTTCAGGTCAGCCAGGCGCGTCTTGGCCAGCGTGACATAGTCCGTGAGGAGGGAACGGTACTTGCTTGGCACCAGCGGCGGATGGAGAATGTGCACCTGCGGGCAGATGGCAGAGCAGGGCCCCATCAGTCCTCGAACTGGGGGTGGCTTTCTGGGGCCGCAACAGCTCGCTGTGGACACCTGAGCTTACACCAAAGGCGGGAAACTCCAGGGATGAGCCGAAGACTCCGGGGGCTCAAGCCGGAGTGGAAGAGACAGAATCCCGGCCCAGGGAGAGCGTGTGGCCGGGTCCTCGCACAGAGCCGGCCCCTCACCCAGCGCAGCCGGGCACTGCCCCCATCTCTCCCCTGCTGCACAAACACAGGGGTGCCCCAGCCCCAGGGAGACAAGGGGTCAAGCCCTCAGGGCAGGGGGTACATCCTGAGCCTCACTCGGTGATGGTACATTCTCTATGCTTCTTTGTCACTTAGGTCACATGTATTCTTTGGAACGTAATGCAAATATCCAAATTACAAAAAGAAGTAAGAATCAGTTTCCACTGCCCTACCCCTCAAAGAATGCTGGGCAGGGTTACCTGATTAAAAAAGAAAGCTTGCAGTAAGGCATTTTTAACCATGAGATTCATACAGATTTGTTATTAAAAATGCAAACTCTATAGAGGGTGTAATGTCTTCCACGTCTGGAAGTAATGGCCACGGGCACTTTGGAATATATCCTTCTGGTTCTTCTTCAATACAAACTGTATCATTGTATACGTTTACTAACTGGAATTTAAATAAAAACCTGAAACTACCAACAAAACAAAATAAAGATGGATCCTTTAAACCCCAACGCGGGGCTGTAGCGTACATGACAATGCCGTCCCGCTGAGCTGGCACAGACCGGCCAGCCTCGCAAGGGGCCGCGTGCTGTCGCCAACCACCCCCCGGGGACGGACGAGGGGCCGGCTCCTGGGCATTTTACCAGCACACACGCGAGCACAGTGACATCCCTAGCTGGAAGGCGTGCAGGGGCAAGGCCGGCGGGATGCCCGGGTGCGTGGGCCGCCGCTCACCTGCATGTACCGGGGAGCCTCAAAGGGCACGAGGTCTGACAGGAACTTGAAGAGAAAGACCAGTGTCTTCTTGCTGCCACTGTGGAAGCCCCTCGTGCTCCCAAAGGAGGCCTGGGGGGAGAGGCGGGCGTGAGGGCCAGCGGCCGGCTCCAGGAGGGGCGGCGCCCCCCACGCGGGGATACGTCGCGCCGCGGCTGAAGCCGAAGGGAGACACAGCCGCCCGGGCTCCTGTAATCCCACGGCGCCCGGCTCTGCCTGCCCGAGAAGACGGGCTGAAAATTTACTGAGAACAAAAGTTAAAAATACATTCCTCTAGAAAACGGTAACTGTGCTATCTTTTTGTGACCCTGAGGAGCACAGTGTATTAGCTGCCCTCACAAGGGCTCTTTCCTCAACAAATGAACACATTCTACACAATGAAGCCACTTCTGAACCACGGTAACTCCCAGACTCTTCTGTGAGGAGACAAGGTCACCGCAGGGGAGGGGGCCGAGAGGGCACCCCTCGGGACGCCGAAAGTGGCCAGCCCACAAGAGAAAAGCCGGCCCTTCCAGGAACCGAGGGCGCCTGGGGATCCCACAACGGGCACCGGCCCTGAAGGGCGGCAAGGAGTCTCTGCCCAGAGAACTCTGAAGAGGACGGTGGTGCAGGCACAAGAAGCCACTGGGTGAGAGCGAGATGGCAGCAGAGCAGGAGGACCCGAGGCTTGCCTCGTCCCACAAACACAAGTAGGTAACAATCAAATCATCCCAAATGCCCCAGAACTCGACCTGAAGACGGACAGAACACACTCCACAATGCTATAAAACTAGAAGTCAACCACCAGAAAAAATCTGGGAAGACCACAAATAAATGGAGGTTAAACACGCTACGAAAAATGAATGGGTGGGTCAAGCAAGAAGTCAAAGAAGAAGAAGAAAAAAAAGTACATGCAACCAAATGAAGATGAACACACAAGAGTCCAAAACCTTTGGGATGCAGAAAAGCAGTTCTAAGAGGGAAGTTTATAGCAATACAGGCCTTCAAGAAGCAAGGAAAATCTCAAATACACAACCTAACCCTACACCTAAAGGAGCTACAAAAGGAACAACAAACAAAACCTAAAACCAACAGAACGAAGGAAGTAATAAAGATGAGAGCAGAAATAAACAATAAACAAACAAACAAAAAAGAAGAGAGCAATGAAATCAGGAGCTGGTTCTTAGGGAAAAAAAAAAAAGGCAATAAAAATGAAAAATCTCTAGCCAGACTTATCAAGAAAAAAAGAGAAAGGACCCCAATAAACAAAATCACAAATTAGAGAGGAGAAATAACAACCAATACCACAGAAATAGAAACAATTATAAGACATTATTATGAAAAACTATATGCCAACAAATTGGACAACCTGGAAGAAATGGATAAATTCCTAGAAACATATAACCTCCAAAAACTGAAACAGGAAAAAATAGAAAACTTGAACAGATCAATTCCCAGCAAAGAAATTCAGTCATCAAAAAACTCCCAACCAGGTGCCTGGGTGGCTCAGATGGTTAAGCATCTGCCTTCAGCTCAGGTCATGATCCCAGGGTCCTGGGATCAAGTCCCGCATCAGGCTCTCTGATCGGAAGGGGGCCTGCTTCTCCCTCTCCCTCTGCTGCTCCCCCGGCTTGTGCTCCTTCGCTCTATCAAATAAATAAATAAAATCTTTAAAAAAAAGGGGCGCCTGGGTGGCTCAGTCGGTTAAGCGACTGCCTTCGGCTCAGGTCATGATCTCAGCGTCCTGGGATCGAGCCCCGCATCAGGCTCCCTGCTCCGTGGGAAGCCTGCTTCTCCCTCTCCCACTCCCCCTGCTTCTGTTCCCTCTCTCACTGTCTCTGTCAAATAAATAAAATCTCTAAAAAAAATTAAAAAATAAAGATTAAAAAATAAATAAATAAAATCTTTAAAACAAAACTCCCCACCAACACAAGTCCAGGCCAGACAGCTTCACAGGTGAATTCTAACAAACATTTCTAGTTAATACCTATTCTTTTCAAACTATTCCAAAAACCTGAGGGAAGAAAACTTCCAAATTCGTTCTATGAGGCCAGGATTACCCTGACACCAAAACTAGATGAAAAACTCCACTAAGGAAGAACTACAGGCCAATAGCCCTGATGAACAAGGATGCAAAAATCCTCAGCAAAATACTAGCAAACCGAATCCAACAATACATTAAAAAAAATCATTCACCGCAGCCAAGTGGGACTTATTCTGGGGCTACAAGGGTGGTTCACTATTCGCAAATCAATGTGACACATCACATCAATGAAAGGTTAAGAATCACATGATCATTTCAATATAAGCAGAAAAAACATTTTACAAAGTACAGCATCCATTCATGATAAAAACCCTCAACAAAGTAGGTTTAGAGGGAACATTCCTCAACATACAAAGGCTGTGTGTAAGAAACCCATAGCTGACATCATCCTAAAAGGGAGAAACTGAGAGTCTCTTCTCCTAAGGTCAGGAACAAGACAAGGATGTCCACCCTCACCACTTTTATTCAACACAGGACTGAAGTCCCAGCATAGAAATCAGACCACAAACAGAAACCAATGGTATTCAAATCAGCAAGGAAGAAATCAAACTTTCGTTATCTGCAGATGATGCAATACTATATATAGAAAACCCAAAAGACCACCAAAAAACTACTACACCTGATAAACGAATTCAGTAAAGTCACAGGATACAAAATCAATGTCCAGAAATATGTTACATTTCTATACATTAATAATGATGCAGCAGAGAGAGAAATTAAGAAAACAACCACATTTACAACTGCACCAAAAACACTACGATACCTAGGAATAAACCTAACCAAAGAGGTGAAAGACCTGTACTCTGAAAACTATAAACACTGATGACAGAAATCAAAGAGGACACAAAGAAATGGAAAGACATACCATGGTCATGGAGTGGAAGAACACACTGTTAAAATGTCTATATTAAAGCAATCTATACATTTATTTTTCATTTTTTTAAAAGATTTTATTTATTTATCTGTGAGAGAGAAAGAGAGAACACAAGCAGGGTGAACAGCAGAGGGGGAGGGAGAAGCAGGCTCCCCACTGAGCAGGGAGCCGGACGTGGGGCTCGATCCCAGGACCCCAGGATCATGACCTGAGCTGAAGTCAGACACTTAACTGACTGAGCCACCCAAGCGCCCCAGCAATCTATACATTTAACACAAACCTCACCAAGAAGTCCCAAGAGTTTATTTTTGCTTTTGTTTCCCTTGTCTCTGGTGTCCAGTAAGAAGGGGGATGAAGGAGAACACTTGTCATGAGCACTGGGTGATTACAACAAAAACTAAAAAAAAAAGCCAGCAGATGGAAAGAAGACCGCCCCCCATCACCATTCAGCTCCCACCGAAGAACAAGGGGCACCATTTCCCTCCCTCTAATCTGTCTACATGGAAGGGTTAGTGACTCTTGGCAACATCCACTGAGTCAAGAGTGAGGCTCAGTGACACCCTGGAAACAGGACTAGAAACGAGCCACCAGGGGAGACCGTTTATGGGAAGTGTTTATGTCCAGTGTCTAGAGTAACAGACACGTCCCCAGATCTGGGGCTGCAACAGCATTTAATGTCACTCCAGGAAAAAGACAGTTATTCTTATTAGAAAAATTACAAGTACACTGTGATGAGCTACGAACCATAAATCATGACCCCAAAGGGCTCAAATGTAAAATCATTACATTGGCCTATTTACATTAACATTCTTGAAAATAAAGATTAAAAGAGATCTTCAAACACTGAACATACACAGAAATATCTGTCAAACTCACCAAATCATTCACTTAAATTGGGTGCATTTTATATAAATTCTATCTCAACAAAGTTGATTTAAAAGGTAAAAGGAAAAACAAAACCAAAACACCCCGCCATCAACCTAGCACCTGAGGAGCATTCCTGTCCTTCTGTCGCCCTGGGAACTCAGCAAATCCCAGGCCCGGGGGACACCTGGTTGGCCCCAATCACTTGGACGCAGCTCCTGGCAGACAGAGACCACATGCTGACACAGGACACAGGGCAGCTCTGATGACCACCCAGGGTACCCCGGCTGTGGACACTGCCAGAGCCCTGTGCACATCCAGCGGGTGCCCCTGGGCCGACAGCCCATTGCTGCGAACACAGGGCTGACGGGAAAAGTAAAGAAAACACCACGACCACCCGTCCTCTACCAACAGCCCAGGCCGGCAGAGGCTGGGCCAAGGCAGGCTTCCGCCGGTGCAGCCGCCCTCCAAACTGGAGGAAGGTGGGCTCCCCACAAGGAAGCAACAATTACAGCACCCACAGAGTGCCAGGAAAACCCAAAAGCTCCACAAAGAGTTAGACGACTTTTTACACGACAGCTTTCCACACCCAAGCTTCAGAGAGGACGTCTGGAAGATGCCTCCTCAGAAGCGGGACCCTGCAGGTCTGTGAACAGCAGCACAGACGGGGCAAGAACACGGACGTGGCGCCAACAGAGAGGCAGCCCCGGGCAGCTGAGAAGCGCTCCTCTGGGCGCACCACATCGTGCAGGAGCAACAGCCTGACGGCACGCCCTGACCAGAGACCCCATCGGGCAGGCGCGGGGCAACGACGGGAGGGCCAAACCCTGGACAGGGCAGCACGGAGCTCCGCGTGGAGGCCGAGAGGGAAAGAGCTGACCACGGAAGGCGTTTGTTCCTAGGATGGAGGGGAGGGGGGGAGGGGGGGAGGAGCTCACCTGGAACCAGTCTGAGTAGGACGGGAACACAGAGGGGCCCTCCAGCGCAGCCTGACGCACCACCAGGAACGCGGTGACCATGCTGTCCAGGTTGCAGCTCTCGAACGCACGGGCCAGCAATCGGGCCACCCAGTCTAGGAGGGAACAACCCATCAGAGCTGGCAGACGAGGACCTGCGTGCACGCTGCTGGGGGTAGGGCACGCCAGTTAGGAGGCTAGGTCACGAACGCCCAGAGCAGCCCCACGCCGACGACGGGAGGCGGACGAAGGCACAGACGAGAAGACACAGGGCACCATCTGGGCGCTGAGAGGAGCAGCGAGCCCCACCTGCGAGCTCACCCACAAACAACAGGACACGCACGCACGCGCCACGGGGTGCCCACCCAAGTGCACCTGTAACCAGCTGCTGCGCCTCAGGTAAGCAGATCACCAGTGTAGACACACAGGAGAGCACATGCTGCCAGTTCACCTCGCGTGTCTCCAGAACTTCTTGTAAGTGGCCAACCAACTCCTCTGGAAGCAGTACCGCGAAGAGCTGAAACAAGTCCCCCAACTTGGCTGTCGAAAACAAGCCGCTCATTGGGCAGCTGGATCCTCACCCCCAACCCACTTCAGGGACGCTTCTGCCTCTGTCCTCAGGGTCAGTGTGGGCAGGAGGGTTCTCGTTTCAAGGAGAAGCTGTTCTGCCCAAGTGGTAAGTTCCTTCTCTGGGCCCCCCATGGTCTAGGCGGGAGCGGCTGTGTCTGCGGAGCCCGCCGGCCTTACTCTCCGTGGACGGGGGGCCACAGAGCCCCGTGGCAAGTGCCACCCAGCGCAGGAGCACAGGGCAGAATGCCGCACGACACCCACCCTGCGGTACAGACTGGTTAGCAAAGGGTGGGTCTTCGCGAAGCTCCAATCTCTCTGCATTTGAACAGCATCAGAAACTTCATTCAGGAATAAAAACAGACAAAAACGTCAAGTCAGTCATAATTAAAAGCCGTCTTTTGTTTCGGTGTCAAAAAAACTACCTTGTTTCAATTTGCATTTTCTCGATTATTAGCAAACATTTCTGTTTGTGAACCGTTTTCTGCTATCAAGTGTGTCTTTGGCCCAGTTCCCTGCTGCTAACCCTTTACCATATTTGCTGTATTTTCTTACCCATCAATTCTATTTTAATTTTGCTGCTTTTCAACTTTAACGGTGGGTAAGCAATCAGCGAGGATGCTGCTGGAAGGGTGTCTGGCTGGAGGGGGCGCCAGCTCCTGCCCAAGCCCCTCACAGAGTGCGACACAGCACGTGCCCGAAGCTTCCCTCGTGCTGCGTGAGGACCCTGCCCAGGGACACAACGCTGCACACAGAGAAGGCTCGGTGGGCATGGTGTTCATTTCAGTCCCCAAGGAACAGTGAAGTCTTGCAAACACCCTCACTGAATGGATGGTGACATCAACCCAAGGACACTCGTGGGTACGTGACATGGCAACGAGCAGTTCTGAGAAGAACCTGTAACTACAGCTGACCCTTGAACAACACAGATTTGAAATGTGTGGGTCCACTTACATGCGGTTTTTGCCTAATAAATACAGTACAGTTCTGTCAATGTATTCTCTTCCTTATGGTGTCTGAATGTCATTTTCTTTTCTCCAGCTTACTTTAATGGAAGTACACAGTACATGTCGCATACAAAATACGTGTTAATCAAGTGTTTCTTACCAGAAGGCTGTTAGTAGTTACATTTGGGAAAGTCGAAAAGCTACATGCAGATTTTCACCTGCACAGGGGGTCAGGGTCCCTAACCTCCACATCATTCAAGGGTCAACTGTGCGTAAGAAAATGCTTATGATAGATGATTTATTATAACAGAATCTAGGAATACAGTCTGATAACTAGATTTTCAAAATCTATTGAGAAAACACCACAAGAAAAGTTTCACATATTTCTATTCTGATGATGCTATGGGTGACGGTTCTTCCCATATTTCGTTAATTCTGAATTTTCTTTATGAGAATGTGTAACTTTCGAATGAAAGGATATTTGACGATAACGTGTCCTCGAGTCTCGAGCTGTCTCAGAGCACTAACATTTGGGGCCCACGCTCCTGTGAGGGAGGCAAACAAGCCGGATCCTGGAACCCACCTCTCAGCACAGGCTTGTGAGTTAGCACCTGAGTCAGAGTATGACTGAAAAACCTCTTTGGCACATCTGTTGAAACCGCTGCGCCATACGTGTGTCCACAGAACACGCCAAACCTGCAAAACACAGCATCAAGAGGTCCAGCAGCGCCGAGAGCATCGCATGCACATCCCCAACAGTTCATCAAAGGCTACTGTCCAGCAAGGTTGCGTGGCCCCAAGGCCCCCAACTCGCAGTTCATGGGGGCGCACTGGCTGGCCATTCCCATAACGCTAAAGCCCCCGCTCAGCCAGGCCACTGTGCCACAGACTTGAAAAGTCCAGGGGCGCTGGGTGGCCCCGGCAGTGAAGCATCTGCCTTTGGCTCGGGTCCTGATCTCAGGATCCTGGGATCGAGTACCACATCGGGCTCCCTGCTCAGCAGGGAGCCTGCTTCTCCCTCTCCTCCCAGCTTGAGCTCTCTCTGGAAGGAAGGACGGAAGGAAAGAAGGAAGGAAGGAAGGAAGGGAGGAAGGAAGGGAGGAAGGGAGGGAGGAAGGAAGGGAGGAAGGAAGGAAGGAGGGAGTGAAGGAGGGAGTGAAGGAGGGAGGGAGGGAGGAAGTTCAAAGAAGGGCAAGTCGCATAAGAAAGGAGCTGCCCTGGGGCGCCTGGGTGGCTCAGTCCTTAAGCATCTGCCTTCAGCTCAGGTCATGATCTCAGGGTCCTGGGATCGAGCCCCGCATCGGGCTCCCTGCTTGGCGGGAAGCCTGCTTCTCCCTCTCCCACTCCCCCTGCTTGTGTTCCCTCTCTCGCTGTGTCTCTCTCTGTCAAATAAATAAAAATCTTAAAGAAAAAAAAAAAAAGAAAGGAGCTGCCCATGGAGTAGGGAAGCGGAAAGAGAAGGCTGGGTCAGTCCACAGCAACGTGCAAACCTCACAAAGCCTCAGTCTGTCCATCTGTGAAATGGGGATCAGGAGCAGCAGGGCAACAGCCAGGCTGGCCCAAAGCACCTGGCATGCACAGGCACTGAGATGCAGCAATGGTTCCTGAAGCCAAGGACATCCCGTGCCAGGGCAGGGACTAAGGACAGTGGGCAGGACATCACTGATGGGGCAGGAGGGATGAAGGGTGTCGGGGCTGCCTGACAGCGGGGCCCTGGGGGCACTTCAGTGCACCAGGGTCAGTCACTGAAGCTCTACCCAATTCCTCAGGGAGAAGAGCCCCCATCACACGTGCCATGAGGAGACACCGGGCAGGAAGGGCGGCCGTGGGCGCTGCTAGCCTTCCTGGGGGACAGACCCGGGATGCAAACCCCATGTGCCAGGAAGGCTGGCCATCCAGACCAGGGTGGGGTGGGGGCAGTGCCTGGTTTTATTGGAAATACTGGCAACTAATTAAGAAACTTAGGGCACCTGGGTGGCTCAGTCGTTAAGCGTCTGCCTTCGGCTCAGGTCATGATCCCAGGGTCCTGGGATCGAGCCCCGCACCGGGCTCCCTGCTCGGCGGGAAGCCTGCTTCTCCCTCTCCCGCTCCCCCTGCTTGTGTTCCCTCTCTCGCTGTGTCTCTCTCTGTCAAATAAATAAAATCTTTAAAAATTAAAAAAAAAAGAAACTTAAAAAGGGGCACCTGGGTGGCTTAGTCAGTTAGGCGTCCGACTCTTGGTTTCAGCTCAGGTCATGATCTCAGGGTCATGAGAATGAGCCCCGAGTCGGGCTCTGCGCTCAGTGGGGAGTCTGCTTGGGACTCTCTCTCCCTCTCCCTCTGCCCCTCCCCCCCCCCGCTCCCTCTCTCTAGTAGATCAATCTTAAAAAAAAAAAAAAGGAAACTTAAAAAGAAACAAATACATCTATAGTCATTCTCTGACTCTCAGACATCAGTTCAAGTAATCCAATCAGGCATGTTATAAAAATGCATAAAATTTAGAAAACAGAGCAATGTTGTATACAGTTTAAGTGAAGTACTGAATTATACAGCACGTGTGAAGATCACTAAAGCAACTGGAATACAGGCAATCGGGGGCAAAACAATGAGAGATCGGAGGGATGTGCAAGGCCTGGGAATGCTGGAAAACTCTCCTGGATTTCCAGGAAAGAACTAGCTTCCAGGTCAGCCTCACACACATTACTCTGAAGCAAACCCGACACCCCAACAGCCAGTCCTAACGTGTACCTCCACAGAGCCATGCAGAGAGAAAGCTGATGTGGCAAAATCGTGAGCACGGGTGAGTGTGAGAGCCAGCCTTGGCGAGCAGAGAGAAGGCTCAGGGGGAAGAGAGGGCATGCGGTGCAGGCAGGGGGACAGACCAGACCGTGAGAAGGTCATTCCAGGGGTGCCCTGGGTGGGAATCTGGGCTCACACGAGTGCAGACCCCCAGGCGACAGAGGATTCATGCAGAAGAGGGCCAGTCGGCCTCCTGCATCATCTTCAGAAGGAGAAGCGGACCAGAGGACTCCTAGGGCTCTCCAGCAGGTGTCCTCAAAGGATACTGTCCCAGTGGCAGAGAGCATCTGCAGGACGCAGCTGCTGATACTTCACCTAGGACCTTCAAGATAGTAGGCACCACCCCCTAAGCATGCCCAGCAGGCCTGCCCCCAGGACGTACCAGCTCTTCACTGCCCTGTACGCTGGGGATTCATCCTGCAGTCCGGTGGCCAAAGCCTCGAGAGCGACTGACAACAGATAGTGGGAACAGAAAACACATCAGCGCAGCCTCACAATCCATCAAAAATGGTCCCCAGGGGCGCCTGGGTGGCTCAGTCGTTGAGCATCTGCCTTCAGCTCAGGTCATGATCCCAGGGTCCTGGGATCGAGCCCCGCGTTGGGCTCCCTGCTCAGCGGGGAGTCTGCTTCTCCCTCTCCCACTCCCCCTGCTTGTGTTCCCTCTCTCTGTGTGTCAAATAAATAGTAAAATCTTTAAAAAGAAGACCCCTGACCAGCTATCACTGGACAAACCAGGTAATGAGTCTTTGGGAAAGGAAAGCTCCCCAATTTCCAAGTCACAGACCTCATCAGCCTCCCATGCCCCCCAAGGGTACAAGTCCTCCAAGCATCCCAACGGTACCAAAGACCTAAGCCTTTTAAATCAATCAAAACTCGGAGACAGTAAAATGCTTCCCTAATTACAGCTCTGGACAGTAAACGCAAAGCCACCAAGAACTGAAAGCCAGGAGAAACGGCAGAGGGTAAGTTCCGGCGAATACTTGAAGATGAAAGGCAGGAAACCTTGAGAATCCCTGATAAGCAAACTAGCTGTTGCAGTCTGGGGTTTGGAGCAGACGACTCACACATCAGCATCCTCTGAAGCACGGCCATGGCGAGCTGTCAAAGCAGAACACAGGGCACGGTTACTCACTTCTGTGCGCCGCCCAACAACGCTAGCAGTCACCCTACAGGAAAATGAGACAGTGTCTCCACACAACACCCCGACACCGGGGAGACCCGAGAGAGTGGAAAGGCAGACTTTCTGCCAGGATCCGCCGTGATCCCCAGGACCTCTCTCAGCGTGGCCCAGGGTCCCGGCCACCTCCTGCTGGCCTCCCACGGCCCCACCGTCCCACGGCTCACGGGGTCAGCACAGAGGAGTTCTACAGGTAAAAAGCTCTCCGATTCTGGGCCATGGTGAAGGCTTTCACCCTCAAGAACTCTGGAAACCAGAATATGGCAGGAGATATTCCTGCTTGGTTCCATTCCCTCACGTCTGCTGGGCACAGGGAATAATAGTACTCAGGGAGCACCTCAGGAAAATGACAGGTGTCCCATCAAAGCTTATAGACGAATGTGGGGTCACTGGTCCAAGAGCTTCCAATTTCGTCACGGGCCAATTCCAGACCCTCCATTTGACGTTTCTTCTTACCTGGGCCATCTGTGCAGGCTCCACACTTCTCAGATCCGAGTTTTTCTGAAATCCTCTCAAAACAAACAACTGCACAAAATCTGAAAACCACAAAACCCAAGTATTTACATGCACTGTGGTCTCCAAACAGCTGTGGATCACGCAGGGGCCCTGCTTCCCAGCAACACGTCAGTTCATCCTGCTCTGCACCCCACACATGAGCCTTCACTGGCCCAACCAACCAAAACCCCTCCTGAACCGGACTTTGCTTCTTGTCACTGTATTTGAAGGGAAATACTCATAATCAATCGAGTTTATGGGAAGGATGTTTTCTTAAAACAAAGTAGCAACCGAGGCGCCTGCTGCCTCAGTCGGTTAAGCGTGTGACTCTTGATCGCAGGGTTGTTACGTCTGAGCCCCACGCTGGGTGTAAAGATCACTTAAAAAAAAAAACAAAAAACTATTATCTAAGGTTTTCACGTGGATTGTCTATCCAGCCAATCTCCTAAACAAATAATGTAAGGACTGTTCTAAAAGGACCCAGAAGCATTACATTCTGGGGAACAAGTCAGGAAATAGACTCCTACACCTCCTGAAAAGATAAGATTTTCTGTCTCATCTTCAATTTAAACTTAAACTCTCTTGAGTCTAGACTTAGGAACTCATAAGGAGCTCACATCCATCACCAAGAAAGTTTTAGGAAAAAGGAACACATCTTTTGCAATGTAAAAAATCTCATATGCTACCTGTATGGAACAGTCCACTTCTCGTCTAATTTTTTATTTGTAAATTTCATTCTTCAGACATGACTGGCAACGGCCAGGATCTGCTGCCTCAGAGACGAGCCAGGGACAGGGCCCACTCTAAGGGAAAGGCGCCCAGAGAAACAAGTGTGATAAGAGGACAGCCACGCTGAGCTGCTGCCCAGGCCAGCACAGCAACCCTGCGCTCACCCCGAGTCTGACGTTTACATCAGGCCGGGAGCTCAGCACACTTGCCAGAGTTCCTACTTCGCTTTTCCTGGGTACCTTTTAAAATAACCACTTAGAACTGAACCCACAAAAAGTCAGTGACCTCAGGCCCACCCACCTTACAAGTAACAGGTGCCTGCTGTCTCCCCCTCGCTTGTGAGCTTCCCCGGCTCACTGCACCCCTCCTTTTCTGGGATCTGAAAGTAACACATTCCTGTGACTTGACTTCTTCCTGTGAATGCCCTGAATCTGCACCTCCAATCAACATGGCTTTGGAGGTTTTCACTTCCACAAAGTGGGAGCTCGGATGCTGAGGAAGCTACCCGCCAACCCCATGTGGGTGGCATGTGCCTCCTAATTCAGCAGGTCATAACCGGCGTATTTTAAACACTCCAGCTGTAGGGCCCCAAACACAATGGGTCAACAGACTGACTTTATCAAAGCCTGCACACCATTCAAGGGTAAGCAGGCCCACACAGCAGGTCCAGGTAGAGATGGTTCCATTCCAAATCCCCATGCTAGGGGTGTGGGGCTGTCCTGTTCCCACAGACTCTCGCAGCAGAAAGCATTCCCACGGACCTAAACGTTGCCTGTGAACCTGCCCCTGTTGTGAACTTACCAGAAAGCACAGCCCTGGCGATGTCAGTGTGCTGAGTGGACGCTTCCATCTGCTCACACAGAACGCACAGGTCCCTGAAGAGCCACGCAACCGTGGCCTGCGTGTCAGCATGACTAGGGACAAAGCACACAGCTCACCCTGGGCTCACCATCGTCCCGTATGTATCAGGCCCTTTTCTTCCACACGCACTTCACTAGGAAGCTTGGGCACTGAGAACCAGCTGGGAGCCACCTGAGCCGTCCCCAGAAGTCACGACAGGGCCCGCTGACCCAGAAGACCTGGCTGCTACTGACATTAAAAATAATCATTTTCATGGGACACCTGCGTGGCTCAGTCGTTGAGTGTCTGCTTTCGGCTCAGGTCATGGTCCCAGGGTCCTGGGATCGAGCCCCGCATCGGGCACCCTGCTCTGCGGGAAGCCTGCTTCTCTCTCTCCCACTCCCCCTGCTTGTGTTCCCTCTCTCGCTGTGTCTCTCTCTGTCAAATAAATAAACAAAATCTTAAAAAAAAAAAAAGCAATCATTTTCAAAAAGCGTATTTGGAATAGCTTACTACTACTCGGGGAAAAAAGAAAGTTCAGTAAGAGTAAAATAATCAGGGCCACCTGGGTGGCTCAGTCGGCTGAGCGATGGACTTCGGCTCAGGTCATGATCCTAGAGTCCTGGGATCAAGTCCCACATCGGGCTCCGTGCTCAGTGGGGAGCCTGCTTCTCCCTCTGACCCTCCCCCCTCTCATGTGCTCTCTCTCTCTCTCAAATAAATAAAATCTTTTAAAAAAAAGGTAAAATATTCAGAAACAAATAAAACAGTAGCAGCCTGAGGCGACAGACTGTCATCAAGGGCATCAGCCATGCAGAACAACCTGGGGAGCCTGGATCTGGAAGGAGAAGCAGGGGACCTCACCTGGCGACTTGCACTGTTCTGGGGACTAACGACATCTGGGACCTTTTCCTGTGCTTGGCCTCATGTGTATCCTCTTTGGACAAATGTCTGTTGAAATCCTTGGTCCATTTTTAATTGAATTATTTGCTTTTATTGTTGAGCTACAAGAGTTCTTTACTCTAGATACTAGATTATCAGATATGTGATTTGCAATTAATGTCTCCCATTCTGTGCATGGTCATTTCATGGTCTTAACAGTGTTGACACACACACAAGTTTTAAAACTTGATGAAGCATAATTTTCCTTCTACATTTTCTTCTGTTGCATGAGTTTTAGGCATCTTGTCCAGGAAACAATTGCCTAATCCAAGCTCATGCAGACGTAACCCTACGTTTTCTTCTAGAGGTTTTATGGCTTTAGCTCTTACACTGAGATCTTAGACGCACTGTGACTTAGTTGCTATGTGTGGTGTGAAGCAGGGGTCCGACCTCATTCTTTGCATGTACATGTCCAGTTGTCCCAATACCATTTGTTGAATGGACCATTTTCCCCTCCATTCAATGGTCTTGGCACCCTTGTCAAAAATCAATTGACAGGGGCGCCTGGGTAGCTCAGTGGGTTGAGCATCTGACTCTTGGTTTTGGCTCAGGTCATGATCTCAGGGTCTTGAGATCGAGTCCCACATCGGGCTCTGCGCTCAGCATGGAGTCTGCTTGGGACTCTCTATCTCCCTCTGCCCCTTCTGCTCATGCTCTCGCTCTCTAAAATAAATAAATAAATCTTAAAAAAAAATATTCAGGGTTTACATCTGTACTAGAAATGCTATTCCAGGGCGCCTGGGTGGCTCAGTCGTTAAGCGTCTGCCTTCGGCTCAGGTCATGGTCCCAGGGTCCTGGGATCGAGCCCCACGTCGGGCTCCCTGCTTGGAGGGAAGCCTGCTTCTCCCTCTCCCACTCCCCCTGCTGTGTTCCCTCTC